TCTTTGATTCTATGACTTTAATAATGATGAAATTATTACCTCACAAAACATCCCATTCTGTGGCCTTTTCACTGCAGACAGAGAATGGGATGTGAATGAGACAGCCATCTCCAAGAAAGGTGGGTAGAATCCCATGGATCTATTCCCCAATTTATTACCAAATGTTTGGTTTCCTAAGCAATTCACTAGTTGAATCCTTCACAAAACCTGGGAAATTTTTCTTCCATTTACTACAAAGGGCTAGTAGGCAAGCTTAATTGATTACTTAGGAAACTGACCTAACTTTGGACAAATCGTCTGGCTGTGAAACCAACAGGTATTAGCCCACCCAGGGAACTGTTTTCTCTTCTTTGGGTTTCTGCATCCCTACTTCCCTCTTCGGCAGGTTTTGCTGCATGATTTTAGGGGAATGGGAGCTTAGCCCAGGAGCTTAGGTCAGTAAGTCCAGGAGACTCAGCTAACTCCCTCACTTACTCTTCTTCCCTTTGCTGCAGGAAAGTCATCAGCACAAGCCCACTGAGAACTTCTTCCTACCTCTGATGTATCAGAAAAAAAAGTTAAGATCTGGGCTGAAACCAGTCTTCCCTGTGACACTGTTGGAGGACCCTAAATCCAAGAGAGAACAATGGTTTAGGTGAAGTCCTGGCTCTTTCTTACCTTTTCCTTATTCGTGTCACTATCTCTTTTCAATATGATTTAACAAACACTTTTCGGTTGTACGGAATGTGGACAACTGTGTAATAATAGGACAACTTCCCTACATGATCCCCAACCACACTTCTACCTTAGCAACAGAGAAACAGTAATGCAAAACTAAAGTTTTTCACAAGAATGATTTTCAAGAGTGAAGACAAGTATTCAAAGGTCCATGCTTTGAGGAAGCAACAACAAAAAATTTCTCTCGGTGCCTGTTAAGGGTTGTGATATAGGAACAATTTGCTATGTATGAGATTTGATTTGAAACTGGTTATAGGAGCAGCTTATATCTTGTTTCGAGAGGAGAGAGGAGATTCTGGAGTTCCCTCATAGGTTTACAATGCTAGGTTCTAGAAGCATCCCTTCCACTGAATAATACTCCCGCTCTGTACCAATGAACACCCTCAAATCCTACTGTCCTTTCTTCTCCTCCAGAATCTGAGAATGCAGTGAGTGGTTCCATTAATCCCTCACCCTAGGATCTACTAAATGAACTTTCTTTGTTAAGGTTTTCCACGGACGAGGATTTCAAGAGTGAAGGGAAGTATTCAAAGGTCTGTGCTTTGAGAAAACAGAAAAAAATGTACCCTCAGCTCAACTTTGCTCCAGTCTGTAAAAGAGATCTGAGGAGTGACGGTAAGGTCCTTTCTATCAAAACAATGGTTTATGGGATGGAGCTGTGGGCAGGAGGGACAAACTATGGGGACGAGAGATAAGGGCAAATCTCTCCTGGAGGTTCTGGAGACTAGTTTTCCTTTTAGCATGGAAGCCAAGAACTGATAGAGGCCCAAGTGGTGCTAGGCTTTCCACCCTGTTTCAATCCTCACATTTCAAGAAAGCTCTAGCATAGTGTTTTCCAAACTACATCACCTACCACTTTACTAGTTTTGGTCAATGAGTTATTTGCCCTGTTATTTACTTAATGTTTTTCTTTCAAATTATTTTTTTGTCCTAATTAATACTATATCATTGCCATCATGGGTTTGATATACTAATCACATGGGGTTTTTTTCTCTTATACAATTCTCTCAAACATTTAATCAAATTCATAATAATTACATTTTAAAAATTAATTTATTTTGGCTGTGTAGGGTCTTCGTTGCTGAGTGTGGGCTTTCACTAGTTGCGGCGAGCGGGGGCTACTCTTCGTTGCGGTGTGAGGGCTCCTCCTTGCGGTGGCTTCTCTTGTCACAGAGCACGGGCTCTAGGCGCGCAGGCTTCAGTAGTTGTGGCACGAGGGCTCAGTAGTTGTGGCTTGCGGGCTCTAGAGCACAGGCTCAGTAGTTGTGGCGAACGGGCTTAGTTGCTCCGCGGCATGTGGGATCTTCCCAGACCAGGGATCGAACCCATGTCCCCTGCATTGGCAGGCGGATTCTCAACCATTGCGCCACCAGGGAAGTCCCATAATAATTAAAATTTTAAATGTTTATCTAAGTATCACCTAAAACTACCCAGTGGTACGCATATCACACTTCGAGGAAAACTGTTCTAGAAGGGCCAAAGGATAAGCTATGCGTCTCAGAGGTCCATGAGTCTCTTTGGGGTTGAGGCAGGACATGGCGTGGAAGAGGTTTGGGATAAGGTTGTAAGGAAGGGGTACAACAAAAACGCTCCTCACAAATTGTCATTCATTTAGCAACATTTATGGGGCACTTACTCGTGTTGGATATTTATCAAGCACCAATAATAATAGCACTTTCCATATGGAAGACATATGGATGGGCCAGGTCATGAAGGGCTTTGTATATTTGTATAAATAAGGGCTTAGGTTTTATCCAGCAGGCGGTTGGGACCCACTGAAAAATTTCAGAGCACTGAACACACATTTGTGTATTAGAAGTATAATCGATGGCTCCCCAGACTTCACCAGCCTATGGCTCCAAGATAAGGTTCATTTCTCCTACAGGACTGCTCTCCTCGAGCAGTTTCTGGAACTCCCTAAGGTATGCTTCCCTGTTCTACAAGGCCATCCTAGCGATTGCCAGCCATCCTCAGCTCAAACAGTCACAGTTCCAGAGGTATGAGGTCATATCGTACCATCCCTTACCTGGCTTCTTCAAGTGTCTCTGCTCCTTCTGTACCTATCTGCCACACCACCTGACATCCCTCCTGCCTCTCTTAACTCCCCATATACAGCTAAAACCAAGCTGTGATATTAAATAACACTTCATAGATGTGAAGAAAAATTAAAGGCTGGCAGAGAGTCATTTATCTTGCTTTAAAAGGGGACACTGTTAGGCTCAGCCTCAACCCCCCCTCAGTCCCTTGATACTTCCCAACAGGCCCCCAGCACATTATCCATTCTTGGGAGTCTCTTGGCTTACCAGCACTGTCTCTGCCTAGGCTCCTAATACCCTTGGCCCAAGGAAGGGGAAAAGGTAGCTCCTTCCCCTAAGCCTGTTTATTTTCAGCCCCCAGAATAAATCAGTAGGAACATCTATTTCCTTCAAGGGAAACTCCACATGGAAAGCAAGCTTTGAGCTTTATAAGCCAGATAAGGCAAACATAAAATAGTACATTTAGTCAGAGCTAAATCTTAAATGATACCATACGCAGGATATCAGCAGTTCAGCTTAAATCTATATTGGAAGGAAGAATTTCTCCAGTCTAGAATCTAATCTGGATTAGAATTTCTCTGATTTTTCAAGGGCATGATTCTGTTAAGGTATCCCAGTTTACATTTCTAAACAGAACACTTAACATCTCAGTCTGCAGCATTTATTAGAATTATGGTGACTTTACAGTTTCCCTCAAGAAAAATGAGTGGATATATACTTATGTATCTAAAGGGCCCATTATTGTGCTTTTCCTAAACAAAGACAATCCACTGTGAAGTTGAAACAGTGTCTCTACTTCAAGTAAAAGAGAACCTAGCAACTCCTCCTTCCATCAATAATTTTCCATGTTTACCAGGCATCCAAATAAAGAAAGATTACACAGAGAATTGCTTGCTTGGTAAAAGATTACCAGGCCATGAAGGCTGGTTAGGAGACTGTCCAAGAAACAAACAGATAGGACCTGAATTAAGGTGACAGCAGTAGGAATAAGAAAACAAACTTTTTTTTTTTTTTTTGCGGTACGCGGGCCTCTCACTGTTGTGGCCTCTCCCGTTGCGGAGCACAGGCTCCGGACGCGCAGGCTCAGCGGCCATGGCTCACGGGTCCAGCCGCTTCGCGGCACGTGGGATCTTCCCGGACCGGGGCACGAACCCGTGTCCCCTGCATCGTTAGGCGGACTCTCAACCACTGCGCCACCAGGGAAGCCCAAGAAAACAAATTTAAGGGATATTTACAAGGCATAATACTTCAAAATGGGGGGGGGGGGAGGGATGGGAGCAAGAAGAGCCCACAACGGAGGCGTCCAAGAAGGGCATAAGTTGAAAGAGATTCTGGAAAAAGTGATGACAGTGAAGCCAAAGGTAGAAACAGTTTCTTAGTTACACTCTCGGACAGGAGAACTGAAAAGGCTAAGAGGAACATGAATATACAAGTGAAAGTTCCTTCACTTAGTTAAGCGTTATGTAAGCGTCAAAATGGCCACAGATGGAATCGTTCGAAAGGGGTGGGATTAAATAGGGAAGACCCTAAACTGGTGGGTGTTGATGAAGGGAAGAATTATAAAGAAGGTTGGAATGGTAGTCCGTGGTCCAAAACCTATCCTCTTGCTCAGAGTAAAGAGCAGCTTTCTCGGCCCTCCGAGCGGATCTCTTTTTACGTCTCACATTAAGTGTCCTAAACCCTCTGGAAATCCACATTCACGAAGGTGCCCTGTGCTTTGTTGCAGTCTCCAAGAAGTCAGGGAGCTACCTGCCAACTTCCCAGATGATTTGGGAACCATTAACCCTTTCATCACTCCTGGAGGAGAAGCCCACCAGAACCGCGCCAGGAGAGAGCGCGTTCCGCAACGGAAGGGCCCAGCAGTGGATTATAAAAAACGCCAGTGTCATTAAATGAAAACAAGCCCTACATGCCCCTCGCCTCTCTCCAGAGACTGAGCGGCCTGGAGAAGTCGCCATTTAGGGCGTGCCAACCAAATAAAATCTCATTCTGCCCTCTCCGGGCGTGGGCTGCCGGGTCGCTTGCAGGGTGGGCCGTGGTGAGCCCCCTGCTGCGACCTGTCACCGTAGGGGCGGGGACGCGGCCCCGGGGAGCCCACCCTTGGCCCCGCCTCCTCCCGGCTTGGGGAGGAAGAGAGGGCGTGGCCACGTCCCCTGGGGCTGAGAGCGGTCGGCGACGGCCGGGGAGGGCGGGCCTTCTCTCCGAGTGACGGGACCGCGGCCCAACCGGCGCCAGAGCACGGGGCCGACCTTCCTGCAGCTTCTTCCGCTTGCTGGCTGCGGCGCCTGGGACGGTGGCGGTGGGCTTGGGCGCTGGGAAGTCGTCCAAGATGATTAAAAAATTCGACAAGAAGGACGAGGAGTCTGGTACGCGCGGGGCGTCTGACGCCCACCCTCAGCCGCGGGGCCCCCTTCCCCTGCCCGCCGCCACCTGCTCTCGGGGACTGCGGACCTGGGGGCGTGGGCGCCGGTGTGCCGGCGGGCCGGAGTTGGAGCCCAGCCCCTCCTCCGACCCACTCCTCTCCAGCCGGGGGCCTGCCCCTAGCCCCTCCCCCGGGCGCCGGAGCCTCCCCTCAAGTCGCGCGCGAGCGCCCGGGCGCTCGCGCGCAGCCTCGGGCTGCTCGGCGGCCCCGCCCCCAGCCCCCTCCTCCGGCTCAGCTCCTCGGAGCCACCTGCTCCAGTTCGCCAGGGCTGGGCTGCCCACCAGAGTCCGGCCCATGGCAGGTGGCGGAGGTAGTGAGTGTGCGCTTGCGAGAGGCGGGGTGGGGTGGGGTGCTGGTAGTGCAAGGCCCACGGTGGGTCTGGGATTGACGGGACTGAGTGTGTTTGTGAACTTTGTGGTGTCTGTACCTTGCAGTCTCCCCGGGGACCTCTGCTTTGTCCACTTCCGTGCGGGCAAGCCTGCTCCGTGGTACCTAGCTCGTTTAATACTCAAGCATCCAAAAGTGAGTTGCATCTTGATAGCCGTCTTTGGTCCAGAGTAAATGAGGAAGATGCCAAGTCACCTCAAAAAACAAAAAGAAACAACCCCCCCCCCCAAAACCCTCAGTGATTGATAGCTGCTCTAAGTGTGGTCGAGGGTTGGGTTAGTAAACCTCTGTGGCCCCTTCCAGCTTGACGTGTATCTAATTCTCTGATAAACTCCTCACAGTAAATGTTAGAAACACATAAAATAGTGCTTTCCTTTAGGGAAATCCAAAGGACCCTACCACAGTCTCATTAATTTTAGTTGTATGGACATGACAGATATTTCTAACATTCATGTAAAAAGAAGGCAGGGAAAGAATACACTCATTTCAGGCAGGGTTTCTGCAAAAGAGAAGTACAGGATCTTACAGGATAGCAGACAGAGCTAGTGTCAGAAGGATTTTAATCAGTTTGTATGCATATTAGTAATGATTATCACTGTGAAATCCAAGTGGTCACTTCACTTGGGTGAGATTTCCCAAGCATTCAGTACCCTTCTGTAGAAAGTAAGTTTGTGTAGGACAACTATTAAAGACATTTTTTCCCCCCGTAACATAGGTAGTGGCTCCAATCCTTTTCGGCATCTGGAGAAGAGTGCTGTCTTACAGGAGGTATGGCTTGGAAGTATAGTGTTTTTTTTTCTTTTCTATTCCATTTTAGAATGGGGGACAAAGAGCCCCAGAATGCTCTGATACAAAATAAGAATTAAGGAATGCAACTGAGTTCAAAGAATATATACTTGAGGGAAAAAGAAGAGGGGTTACTTGTCATAGGAGAGTCTAGAGCTTATAGAAATGCAAAAATATGTAGACTCTGTCACATGTTGAGAATTTTAAATAAAACACCAAGGAGGTGTTTAGTGCAAGGTTATTGAAGGAAGTTATAGATATTAAGCCTATTGTATTCAAATGATGTAGATAAATATTGTGATTCTTACTTAATAGATAAAGCCCACAAGTTGAAGTAGCAGACCTAAGGGAGTGAATAGTATAGAATGGAAAACCTAGGCCACATCTAATAATTTATTATATAACATAATAAGTTGAAAACTGTAAGCAACATTATTTGGATACTGTGATTAAAATGTATAATAGTCTTTATTTAAGTTGATTTTCTGTAGTCTGTGATAGCAAAGATAGAAAATATATATAGCAATGTTTTTTGTTTCCACAGGCTCGTATATTCAATGAAACGCCCATCAATCCAAGAAGATGTTTGCATATTCTTACAAAGATTCTTTACTTATTGAACCAGGTAAATTATTTTGATTTTCCTCAGATTTGTGTCCTGAGATAGAAATACATAACATGCAGTGAAGTACTTTCTGGCAAGTGTAATTATTTATTTTTTAAAAATTCACTTAATTTTAAAATTTACGGTGTTTGATTAACATAATAATATGTAAAATTTCTTGAGGACGAGGAGTATGACAGACACTTCTTTTTTATTCATGAGGTACCAAATCAGCTAAGCACATGGTAGGATCTCAACGTTGATTTGAATTTAACAAGTATTAGTTAATATTAAAACATGTTTTTTAGATATGTTCAGAAAATAAAAATATATTGCAAAATCTTACACAAATTCCAGATAGATATTTTATCCTTTTGGGGGGAGTATATTATATTACTATTTTAAAACTTTGATTTTAATATTCAAATTTTATACAGGCATACCTCATTTTATTATACTTTATTGCATTTTTTTTACAAATTGAAGGTTTGTGGCAACCCTGCATTGTTAGATGATGGTTAGCATTTTTTTTAGCAGTAAAGTATTTTTAAATTAAGGTATGTACATTGTTTTTTTTTCAACGTAATGCTGTTGCACAGTATAAACTACAGTATAGTGTAAACATAACTTTTATACGCACTGGGAAACCAAAATATTCCTGTGACGTGCTTTATTGCAGTATTCACTTTATTGCTGTGGTCTGGAACTGAACCCACAGTATCTGCAAGGTATGCCTGTATTTATTTTCCCTACTCCACCACTAGCAGTATGATTCTGCGCTTAATTGTTTTGTACCTTAATGTCTTTTTCTGTAAATGGGGATTATGCTAATACCTGTTTTATAAAGTTATAATGATTAAATGATACAATAAATGTGAAGTACTGAGGATAGTCCTGGACACATAGTAAACATTCAGGAATAGTTTTCATTCGGTCATATAGCATATATATTTATTACATACCTGCTGCGTTCTATGCACTGTTTTAGGCACTGGGGATGTAGCAGACAAAACCAACAAAAATATTTGCACTCATGAAACATAGATCCACTTGCACTTTTTTTTCTTTTTAAATTAATTAATTTATTTTTGTCTGCGTTGGGTCTTCGTTGCTGTGCACAGGCTTTCTCTAGTTGCAGCGAGCGAGGGCTGCTCTTCATTGTGGTGTGCGGGTTTCTCATTGTCGTGGCTTCTCTTGTTGAGGAACACAGGCTCCAGGCGCGCAGGCTTCAGTAGTTGTGGCGTGCTGACTCAGTAGTTGTGACGCGCGGGCTCTAGAGCGCAGGCTCAGAAGTTGTGGCGCACGGGCTTAGTTGCTCCGCGGCATGTGGGATCTTCCCAGACCAGGGATCGAACCTGTGTCCCCTCTATTGGCAGGCGGATTCTTAACAACTGCACCATCAGGGAAGTCCCCCACTTGCTCTTATCGTTATTTATTTAATTTTTTTTTCTTGTGTGTGGTTTTATTTTTTTGTTTGTTTCTTGTGTGTTTTTTTGGTTTTTTGTTTTTTTTTGCTTCAGACTAAAAAAATCTCATGATTTTTAGTCTAGGGCCTTAGAAAATGTGAGTCTGTTTCTTAGACACACACACACACACACACACACACACACACACACACACACACACA